GGGATCTGAACCCACGGCCTTGGTGTTATCAGCACCACACTCTCCCAAGTGAGCCACGGGCTGGCCCTTAGTTATAACTGTTTTAAATATTTCCTCTATGCACATTTAGAACCACCTCAGACAATGTTATAATTTTTGTTTGAGAGATTCTTGGTTCTTGTTGTGATGAATGATTTTCAGTTGAAACCTGGATATATATTTTGGTATTATGTTATGAGACACTGGATCTTATCTAACCTCTGTTTCAGCTAGCTTTCTCTGATACCACTCTGGCAGAAGAAGTGACATTAGGTGGAGGTAGTAGCCCAGGTTCCCCACTCAAAATCCATTGGCACCCACGGTGGGAGTTAGGCTCTTTTTTTCTGCTGGGTGGAGTGGCTTTGTTATCACTGGGTGATGGTAAAAGTCCTGACTCTGACCCTACCCCCTGTGGGGGTGGTTTGGAGGGATGCTTTCTACATGATCCTTACCAACACTGTGGGGTGGAGACAGGGTTTGTGATCACCTAGTGGGAACAAAATTCCCGGCTGCTAATCCACCTTCTTTTACACTACCGCAGTGAGTGGGGTGGGGTGCCTCATCACAGCCTGGTGAGTGGAAATCTAGGCTCCTCGCTTGGCCTTCAGTGTTGTGGGTAGAAGTGGGCCATATTTTTTCTGTGGTGTGGGGCTATGTTTTATATATTTTTTTGATATGTTCAGTCAGGTGCAGCAGCAACATGAGGAGACACAGGAGAGGTTCAAGAAAATAAAGTTTATTATACTCACAGTCCTAGAGATAGGAGGCATGGCATGCTATCCAGGGCCACCTGGTAAAGTGACCATGGTGGTCAGGAGGTAGAAGGCAGGAGTGAGGGGAGAGCATCAGGCCAGAGCCCTGATTGAGGTTTCTGTGATGCAGGGCAGAGTGAACAGTTTAGGGCTGGCTGGTTTAAATAATTTTTCTGGGCTCTAAGCTATAGGGGTGGTCCCTAGTTGCCTGGTCCCTGGCCCTGGGATTGATTAAGGCAAAGGAACACTGTCTCCTAGGGATAGGGGCCAGGTAGAGGAGGTGGATACTGTTCTGGTTAGTTTGCGTAGCAAAGACTTGTTTCTGGCTGAGCCCTTTGCTACCTCTCAGAATTGGCTAATCTGGGAGGGGCAGTCTCTTCCCTAGCCAGAAAGGTTTTTAAAAATGTCAAAACATCATAACATACAGAATAAAAATAAATACAGAGGCTGGAGTAGAGCAGTTATTTCAAAGGTCTTCTGTCATGCTAGGCTGCTCCTTTCCTCATGCTTTGGCTGGAAAGAGCAGGCATTCATTGGGGTTTTGTTGTGTGCATTTGTTGGTGTTTCCAGGTTGCTGACTTTTTCAGTTCCAAGTGTGGAATACATGAGACACAAAGAAAACCCAGGGAATTCAACCTGTGTTTTCTTGGGTCCTGAGATGCCTAGCTTGTCTGTCTTTTTCTCTCTTCCTTTGACAGCCTTTTTCAGTTTGTTTTATGTACAGTGTTCAGGGTTTTTTGTTGTGCAAGAGGAATAGGGAAAACAACCTCTATTCCATCTTTCCAGAAGTGGAAGTCTCGTCTTTGTTTTTGAAGGATATCTTCATGGGCTATAGAATTCTAGGTTGACATTATTTTTCTTTTAATACTTTAAAGATGTAACGCTACTGTCTTCTAGCGTGTGTTGTTTCC